CAAAACAAAACAAACAAACAAACCACATACACACATTCTTTATCCTTCACTGTTATTTTATATACAATATCTGAACTATAATAAAAAATTATTAGATATGTGAAGGAGGAAAATATGACCTATAATTACAAAAATAAAAATCAATACAAGCAGACCCATACATGACCAAGTCATTAGAATTAGCAGACAAACTAAAGCAACTATTGTTGGAGTGAGCAGGATTGAAGCCATGTTGGGACCTTAAACTGCATGGACTTTAGAAAAAAAAGAGAGAAACAGTTTTTTTCTTAGCATGCACTTCTGAGTTCCCTCCTTCCCATGGTTATTTGATATTTTGAACTTTGGTGAGGGGGCAGAATGACATTATTTACATAAATGTAAAGTTGTTTTCCACTGAGCCTGGAGCTGCAAACTTGCAATGAGACAAACACTATTCCAGACCCTGAGAAATCAAGGAAGACATCAATAAAGCTACAATGATTCCATCCCAAAGAAAAACCCTATAGGACCCTAAGATAACATCAAGGACAAGAAAAGAAGCTAGACAAAGCCTTGGAGAGAATTTGTATCCAGCCCCTTACACATCCCCCTCCCTTCTCCTTTTCACTCCCCACATTCCATTCCCTCAATCCCCTCTTTAAAAACCTCTCAGTAAACCTGAGTCTTTGAGATGGCTTTAGTCTGGCCATTCTCCTTCAGGTTTACTGGAGAGATGAGTTAGCCTAACATCTGTCCTCAGGTCACTGGTATTCCTGAATAAAGCTTACTTCCTATTCCACCAACATTTGACTTTTGTTTGTTTTTGTTTGAGGCAGACAAAGGACTTGGGTTTGATAACAAGATTTTGTCAAGCCAAGCCCGGAGATGAATGCCCTGGGGTAACAGATATTGGCAAGCCAAGCCAGGGTTTTTGTATGGGGCAGGCAGCTGGACTTGGGTTCGGTAACACTATTAAAATGCGTGTTAAAGAATTTACAATAAAATATGGATACAATGAGTGAAGAGATGGAGATAGTTCAGGAGAACTAAAGAAATGCTAAGAAAAAAAAAAAACTAAATGAAAATTCTATAAGTGAAAAATACAATATCTGAAAAATTCAATGACAGGCTTAAAGCAGATTAGACACTGATGAAGACATGATCAGTGCAACTTTGGATCAAAAGATCAAACAGCCCAATAGATATTATTCAAACTAGAGCACCAAGAGGGAAAAAAAAAATCTGTGGGATAATATATACACATGTAATTTGAATCTCAAGAGAAGAGAGAATGGACAGAAAAAATATTTGAAAAAATAATGGCTGAAAATTTTCTCAACTGTGGGAAAAAAATCAACCCACAGATCCAAAAAGGATAAACTCAAAGAAAACCACACCTATTCACATCATGGTGAAACTGCTGAAAAGCAAAGATAAAAGAGATGATCATAAAAGTAGGCAAGGAAGGTAGGAAAGGAGGAACAAAATCACAAAAAAAAGTTGGTATGAAACAAACAGACACTACATAAATGATGGTAAGAATAACAGCTGACAATACAAGCTAAAAGATAATGAAACATCTTTAAAGTGCTTAAAAACCAGTCAACACAGAATTCTATATCCAGTAAAAGATCTTCAAAGAGGAAGAAAATATAAAGACATGTTTAGAACAACAAAAGCTGTAAAACTTTGTCACCAGAACCCCCACACTACAAGAAATGCTAAACAAAGTCTTTGGGCTGAAGGGAAATGACGCCAGATAGAGATCTAGAACTAAAAGAAGGAATGAAGAGTGTCTGACTTGGTAAATATGTAGGCAAATATGAAAGAACCATTTTTTCCTTTTCTTATTTTTTTGTATGCCAATTTACTGTTAAAAGCAAAAATAAGAACAATGTATTGTGTGGTTTATAACATGTAGAGTAAAATGTATGATGACAATAGTACAAAGAATGGGAAGGAGTAAATGGAAATATAATTTAAGGCTTTCATATTATCTATGAAGCGGTATAACATTAATTCAAAGCGACTGTGATATGTTAAAAATACATATTGTAATAGCAAAAGCAACCACTAAAAACAAATCAACAAAGTTATCTAAAACATCATTAGAACATAAAATCAAATACTAAAAATCTATTAAATCCAAAAGAAGGCAGGAGAGGAGGAGCAAAGAAACAAAAAACAGACAGGACAAACAACAAAGAACTAGCAGTGTAAGAAATGTAGGGATACCGTAGGCACTCAAGTGGGGGGCACTCCCTAGCAATATGGTGCCCTTCTGGGTTCTTCTCCACAGTAAACAAAGACCGCCAGTGCCAACACCCAAGCCCGCCGGTGCCAACACCCAAGCCCACCTGTGCCAAACCTCAGCCAGTCACAGGTCAAGGCTCACCTCCTGCCCAGCCCCGTCCAATCAGCTACCGCCCGTCCACCCCCTATCAAAACCCGGAACACAGCTCCCTATAAATATACACACAGTCCTTGAATAAAGTGGAACTTCTCTGGCGAACTGTCAGCTTGGGTCATGTCGTCTTATCAGCTCGGGTCCGTGCGCCCTTTCAAGCAGATACACTCAGACCCAATCATTTCAACAATTACTTTAACTGTAAATGGACTAAACAAGCAAGACCCAGCTGTATGTATGTATATATACATATATATATATATATATATATACACACTTTTTTTTTTTTCCCTGACCGGTAAGGGGATCGCAACCCTTGGCACGGTGTGGTCCACACCACGCTCAGCCAGTGAGCACACCGGCCATCCCCATATAGGATCCGAACCCGTGGCCTCGGCGCCACCAGCACCGCACTCTCCCGAGTGAGCCACAGGGTCGGCCCAACCCAGCTATATTTAAGAGGTTCATACTTTAAATACAAAACACTGATAGGTTTAAAGTAAAAAGATGGAAAAAGCTATACCCTGGAAACAATAATTAAGAGAACGTTGGAGGAGCTATACTAAATCAGACCAAGTGGACTTCAGGAAAAGGGATATTACTAAGCAAAACGAAGGATATTTCATAATGATAAGATGGTCAATTCATCAAAAAGACAACAATTCGGGCCGGCCCGGTGGCGCACTGGAGAGTGCGCCGCTTGGGAGTGCGGCGGCACTCCCGCCAAGGGTTCGGATCCCATGTGGAGACCGGTTCTCGCTCGCTGGCTGAGTGCGGTGCGGGCGCGACATCGAGGGTTGCAATCCCGTTGCCGGTCCCCAGTACGGGCGCGACACCGAGGGTTGCGATCCCGTTATCGGTCAGTAAAAAAGACAAAAAAGGAAAAAAAAAAAAAAAAGACAACAATTCTAAGTGTTTAAGCATCTGATGACAGAACTTCAAAATAATAAAGCAGAATTGACAGAACTAAAGAGAGATACAGACAAAACCACAATGATTAGAGATTTTCACACTCCTCTCAGTAATTGATACAACAAGGAGACAAAAACTCACTGAGGATATAGAAGATTTGAACATCTATCAAACAATTTAACCTTATTGACACTTATAGAACACTAGACCTGACAACTGCAAAATACACATTCGTTTTTAAACTCTTTAAGATACCTGTAGATTTACATGCAGTTGTAAGAAATAATACAGAGATCTCATGTACTCTCTACTGAGAGTAGAGCAGAGTATTGATTGGAAAGAGGCATGAGGGAACTTTCTGAGATGGTAAAAATGTTCTGTACCTTGATTTGGTTGCATGGTGTATACATATATCAAAATAGAACCATATACTTAAGTGTATTTTCCTGTATGTAAATTAAACCTCAATTTAGAAAAATTTAATCCTTTCCCAGTCCTAAGAATCCCATTGGTTTATGATAAATGTCAGGAAGTGAGGAATTCTAGACAGGTGGAATGTAGAGATAAGATAACTCTTTAAATAATTAGACAATTATCTTTACTTCTTCCATATTACTGTAAATAACTCTGGAATACATTTTCATCCTAGAAGGCAGAGATTAGCATCTGAACTTCTTAACTGAGGAAACTGAGATTGTAAACAGCAAAAAAAAAAAAATTGCCCCATATCACCAAGCAAGTAAAGACAAGAAATAAAATCAAACTCTGTACCACCTAATTTCAGAACGCAAGTTCTTTTCACTTAAAACTCTTCCGTCTTCCAACAACATCTCCTCTTTAAAAGTCTTTCTTTCACATTTGCTTTATAATTTTTGTTTTGTTTTGCCTATCTTTCCACCAGGTGGTGAGGACCACCACATTTCTGACACCCTGTTGTCAATGCTTTTGTGCCCAGCCTGTCTAATGTGTGCACTGTGAAATGTGGCCTGAACATTTCTTCTCTACTCATGTCTCTTTTGGCTGCAGATTGACTTCCACTCTCAATACTACACAGGTTGAGCATCCCTAATCCAAAAACCCCAAAACTGAAATGCTCCAAAATTCAGAACATTTGAGTGCCAACTTGACGCTCGAAGGAAATGCTTATTGAAGCATTTTGGATTTCGGATTTTTGGATTAGGAATGCTCAACGTAAGTATAATGCAAATATTCCAAAATTTGAAAAAATCTGATATCTAAAACACTTCTGGTCCCAAGCATTTTGGATAAAGGGTACTCAACCTGTACTAAAGGTCACCTCTTCAAGTTCATAGTGATATGTGTACATCACTAAGAATGTCAGAACTTTCTTCTCACTTACAAATTTTAAATTTGGGTATTTTATTGAGGTTTATCTTAGATCCCAAGTGGCATCTGCTGAGTTTTAGAGGCTACAATTGTATCACTCATTTTGCTTTCTCTACAGAAGTTAGCACAATATTAGGTCTAGGTGTTGGTGAAAAATAAGAGTTACACAGAGAGAAGCCACTATGGGTAGGGAAGTTGCCATCACTGAAGCCCAATTTTCTGTATAAAGAGCAACTTGTGTTGAGCTCCCTAGGTTGAAGTCGTTAGTCTCAAAACCCTCCTCTAAAAAAAGTCAGGTTATAGTCTTAAAAACCAAGAAGCAATGTCAAGAAAATGACAGGAAACTCCAACCCACCTGGGATTCTGCTGTTGGGGACCCAGGGCTCACTTCATCCTCTAAACTTTCTCCCTGGGTCATATCAGCATCCTTAGATAGCAGAGCTGGGGAAGGAAAAAAGCCATGAGGTTTGCATCTCCTAAAGCCCCAAAATAGAAAAACTGCCTGCAGACCCACTGAATGTGGCTCCTCTTCCAATACATTCACAAAGGGGGGCATTTAGGTGACTCAACAGCAGCCCGGAGCCTCCTTAATGAGGAGGACCTACAGCACGTTGCTTTGGACATTAACGTTTCCCAGTGGTCAATGCTGGTCCAAAAGCACAGATCTATCAGGCCAAGGCTTTTGTTCAAGAGTGTTCAAAGGCTCCCCACTGACAAGAAAAAAAAATCCAAGCACCCCACCATTGACTTCAAGGCATCCTACCACGTGCCTGAAGCATATTTTCTCAACTTTGGTTACCTCTAAACTACCACTCTTTATACATGGAATACACACACCACATTCTTAACCCTCAGATGAAATACTTCCCATTCTCTGAACCACTCTTCAATGAAAATACCCACTTTTCTATCCTTTCCCTAAGTTATCTACAAAAAACTTAAAACATTCTTCAAGGCCCAATTCGATACTATCTGCTTTGTGAAAATTTCTCAAATACATACTATCAGAAGAAAGTTTCCTATCCCTTGTATTCCAACAGAACTTTTCCTAGGCTACCTTTTATTATTTTGATCTGGGTGTTTGTCTATCTGTATCAATTAATAACAAACATTAGAAATAATTATTCATTTTTCCATCTGTCAAAATTAGCCAAAATCAGCTAGAACATAATACTGGCTGAAAATGAAGTGTTAAAGGTATGAGTTAAGACACTACACAAGATGCATGAATTCCACTGTCGTCTATATACTCCTGACCAGACCACTAAATAAGGTGTGATCATGAGCATGTTTCCTGTAGAACCCACACAGTTCAAGGTAAAATGAGAGTAATCATGCATTTCATTCCTGCCTCTTGCCAGAAGATGAAAAGGAAAAAACTGCTATTTGTGAAAATATTGGTTTGGGGCTAAAATCACTGGAACTTGTGCAGGAAAACACTTGGAGAACTTAAGCGGACAGAAACCTTTGACCTCCTATCCATGAACCACATTCCCACACTCAGGAGCCACTGGTAGGGAACACCCTGTATCCTGCCTTCCTGTCATGTGTTGTATTTGAAGACAAGAGATGGAAGCAGCATAGAGCATGTGTCACAGGGGCCCATGCTGAGAGCCCAATATTTTCTCTTACAGATACCCACTTCCCAAAAGACACAAGCGTGAACCCCCAAGACCTCTTTCCCCCAATTTTCTCCCCAGGAGACCATACTCAATGAAGTGTGTACCTATATTTTCACACACATATAAGACCTCCTTCTTTACAGCCTATTCTCACCTTCTCCTTCAAACATTTTAGTCACATCCTCCCACAGGGGCGCCCCCTCCTTGGCCTTCTTTGGATGGTGCAATTTCACCCAGGTGCTGGCCTCTGTGGGCAGGGTGATCAGGAGCTGCTGTGGCATGATGATGCTTGCTTGATTGGACTTGTCCACTTCTGGTAAAGAAACTGCTGGAACCTCTGATGACAGACTTCACAGTCGTGTGGTCCTCCTCAGATCACAATCTCCTGCTCTCAGGACTATGACATATCCCTGTGGCGCCAGGACCTGGAGAATCCTTCATGCTGTTGTGACTTCAACAACTCTGAAAAACGGATTCCCCTCTTAAATTAAGCACTGTTTCTTTGGGAGGCAGCCAGTTGGGTAGGTTTGAGTACATGTCTATATTCTCTTCTAGAGGAACAAAAGAGAGGAGGGATCCAGAGGCACCTGTCATACAGCCAGAACTCCAGAACCTGCAGAAATATATTTAAAACTGCAAAAGATCCAAAACAAAGATTTGGCATCGATGACGGAATAGGTATAATAAATGTTCTTGGATGTGGCTCTATCTTCCAGTTCCATACATACACACATACACAATCAGTCAACAATACACAACATCCTAAGATGCACAAACATGCACAGACCCTGCCTTCACTTCCCTCTTTGAAAGCTACATGCATTTCCTGCCTGGACACAGGTTTTGAAATCAGACAACCTGGCTTAGAACCCTGACTCTTACAGGTAAAAACTCTGAGGCACTTCAACTCTCTGAGCTTCAGTTTCTCCATCTACAAAATGGGGAAAATAATTGTACTTCATAGGATTGTAATGCTGATTATTGAGCCAATGCTAGGCATACAGCAAACCTATAACAAACATTATTATAAACCTTTTCTTTTAATGCTGTATCACAGCATTATCTTTTAAAGTTATTTTTAAGAAACAAGTAGAAATCTGAATTCAAAGCTCATTTCAAGTATCTCAACTAATAGAACAATTACCTAGCTGTATTTTGGCATGAGCAAGCAGTGACAGACACATCACCTCCCACGCAGACGTCCAGCAGCTGGCAAGTCCCTTTTAACCTCACTGGTAAGGTGCATTCTGGTTTCAGAAATGTTAAAATTGGTGGAGAGGGGTATGTCGACAAATGGACGAAATATAATACTGCAAGTATAATGAGGACTATTGCAGAATTGTTTCTAACAGGCAAATTTGGAAACAACCAAATCCATCATCTCATCCAACCCCTGGCATCTGAGCAGGTGCCTCTACCGTGACCAGGTCCAATGTATCTGGCCCCCCAAGAGAAGTCCTAGCTCCGTGGAAAGACGGCCAGCTCAAGTTTTTCAAGTTTGTGAGGAAGGGAAGGGTATGTGACTTGAGTGCGTCCTAGAGATTGGAGCTTGTGCAAAATATCCTACCAGTGAATGTATAAAAAATCTTGTTACCAAAGCGCAGAAACTTTCTAATCTTACTTTTGAAAGAGTTAATGACTGAGCAGCTTCATTTCGAAGATGTCCCGTCCTCACTCACAGTGCTCGCAGACGTGCCAAGCTTGAGGACTGCAGACACACAGAAGCCCCTACTCACCAGATCGGCTCTGGACGCAGGCAGGACCCGAGATGGGGGCGTGAGAGCGCTCGCTCCGGAGGCTGTCAGCTGCAAAGAGTGTTTCCTTAGAGAAGGACTGGGTGGTAACAGATTAGTTCTTTCCCAGCCTTTCATGGACAGACCACATCTTCACTCAACGCAATGATTCCCCAAAACGTCCAGTGCTCACGTAGGGTTCCTTCGGAAGCCCAGAAGACCCTCGGCCTCTGGACTGGACCAGAGTCTTTTCCAAATACCCATCCAGGACCCGCGTAGGGCTGGTGGGCCTTCCGCACCCCCAGGAGCGGAGCTTTTGGGGGTCGGAATAGAAGGGGAGCCTGGACCGGCTTCTCGCAGAGCCGGGCGAGGATACAGCTCGCCGGCTTCTGCTTTAATGCCGGGGCCGGCGGCAGCGACCAAGCTCAGTCCCGGCCTCCGGCTGCTTAGGCCTCAGCCGGGCGTCTCCTGGCGCCTTCGGCCTCGGGGCGCACCCTCCCCGTTGCCCGCCCCACCGGCCGTCCTCGCCCCTGCCCAGGTGCCCCGGTCCGGCCCACCACAGGCGGTCGCGAGGCAGATGGAACTTCCGGCGGGCGCGCGAGCCCAGCTGCCGGCCCCGCCCACGAGGGGCGGCCGCGGAGCCCGTCCTCTCCAGGAAGTAGCGCGCCCCGGAAACCCGGAAGCCGGAAGCTGTCGGAGCACGTCCCGGCGCGCGCGCACACGGGCTACCCAGACCCCGGCAGCGGTGGCCGCCAGATAGGCCAGCCTGGGGCACCCGACAGTAGTCCCCGAGAAGCCTTGTGGCGCGGTGGGAAAGCCCCTTCACTGTCATTTATTCATTCGTTCGTTCGACTGTCTTCTGAGTCAACTAAGATCTGCCGGACATTCTTATAGTCTGAGGATACAGCAGTAAACAAAATGCAGTTCCTGCTTTCTTGGAACTTAATTCTGGTGAAATTAACTGATAATAATAAATAGAAAAATAAATAGATGATACCTCAGGCGGTGGTATGAGCCATGAAGAAAAAGGAAGCAGGGTGGGGAGAGGGGGCATAGAGGACAACAGAAATTCCCATGGTGGGCTAGGATGTGTATATCAATCCACCTCAGAAAACAACAATAAAATTAAAAAATAATTTGGAATATATATTTTTAGTGTTTTTAACGGTGTGTATTAGTTTGCTTGGGCTGCCATAAAAAATACCACAGACTGGGTGACTTAGAAATTTGTTCTCACTGTTCTGGACGGCAGAAATCCAAGATACACTGTGGGCAGGTTTGCTTTCTCCTAATGTTATGAACACAGGTCCAGCTGCCTGTCCCCTTGAGCAGGAAAGAAAAAAACCCTCAGAAGTCAAATGGTTGGTGTTAGAAAAGCAGATGAATTCAGCTGAAGGAGATGGTAGGCTATCCCATCTCAAGGACTTAGATTTACTGAGGGGTGTTTAAAGGAGGAGTTGAGGGAATGTAATATGGGAAGTGAAAAGGAGGAGAGAAGGAGATGTGAGTTACGAGAGGTCTGTTTCTATGGGTCAGGTACAAGGTCTAGTCAAGGCCTCGTCAGCTTTCTGTTCTCATCTTCGCTCTTATCTCAGAACCCTGCAAGATTTTGATTTGCACTGGTGTACTTGGCTGGTGCCCAAGGTCAGCTTCCAGTCATTTGGCCCTGATCATTTCTCAAAACTCCAGAAGTCTCAGAGAAGGAACTGTTAGCTTTGCAAAGTACTAATTGGCTTCTCGGCCTTGTTTTCCTACTTAGCGAGCAAGATAAGAAAGTCAGGGAATGGGAAGAAAGAGTGGAGAGGAAAAAACCGTCCTTTTTAAAATCCACCTCCCTTCACAGCCCCGGCAGGTTTAGGTTCCAACATGGCTTCAGTTCTGCTCACTCCAACTCTCCTTGGCTTGCAGATAGCCACCTTCTTTCTGTGTTACAACATGGTCTCTCCTCTGTGTGTGTGCCCTGGTGTCTCTCTGTGTGTCCGAATTTCCTCTTCTTATAAGGACACCAGTCAGATTGTATTAGAGCATATCTCAATGCCTCATCGTAACTTAATCACCTCTTTAAAGGCTCTGTCTCCAATTCAGTCACATTACCAGGTCCTGGGGGTTAGGGTTTCATCATATGAATAGGAAGGGGGAGAGGGACACAACAGCCCATAACAAGGCATCTAAAAATGGAAAAACAGTAGGGAATTACCAGACCAAAAGCAGGAAAGCCAGGATCCAGGGAGGTAATCTAGCTTGGAAGCTGCTTTTGCTTGAGGGCATTTACCTAGCTGGAAAATTATAACCTTCCATTTGTACTCAAAGAAGAAAAAAATAAAGACAGTGAACAGGGAATGAAATAGAAGACCCTTCTTACAATAACTGGGACCCCAGATGGCTACATCCTCAGGGTGAGGATGAATTGCAAGTGGAGCAGTTGAGAGGAATTTACAGGCTGGGATCAGATTGCCTGTCTCAAATCATGATCTTGGTTTAAAGTAGTCTGACTATGGTGCCACCAGATGCCTGGCAAAAGCAAATACAAACACTCATTGGAGGAAAACAACTGTAGGTCCCAAGTTGTTCCCACACAAAAGTTTTCATAGACAACATCAAGTATGGAATTAAAGCTAACCAGGTACACAGAGAAACTAGATTATTTTAGAAAGAACCAGCAGAAACACAAACACCAGAAATAGACCTGCAAAGACAACTGCTTTTGGAATTATCAGATGCAAACTATAAAATCATATCTTCTGGGCTGGTTGGTTAGCTCAGTTGGTTAGAGCATGGTGCTGATAATACCAAGGTCCAAGGTCAGATCCCTATACTGGCCAGCCACACACACAAAAAATAATAATGTTTTCTTTGATCGAAGAAATAAAAGATAACTTGAACAATTTTGGAAGGTGCCTGGAAACTATAAAAAGTGATAGAACAGATGTAAAAAAGAAACAAATAGAAATTCTATACAATAACAAAATTAAGAACTCAGTGGATGTGTATAACAACCGATTAGACATAGCTGAATAAAGAATAAATGAAAAGAAAGGTAGTTCGGAAGAAATTATCTAGAATGAAGCATTAACAAACAAAAAAGATAGAATATACAAAAGAGAAGATAAGAGACATAGATGATACAGTGAGATCTAGCATAAGTTGAAGAGGAGAGAAGCTGGGGCAGAGACAGTATTTGAAGAGACAATGGCTGAATATTTTTAAGTACCTATGAAAGCAATATGATTACAGATGTAAGAAGCCAAATAACACTCTAGCTGGATAAATTTTTTTTTCCTTTTTGTCTTTTTTCGTGTCCAGCAACGGATCGCAATCCTCAGTGTCGCGCCCGTACCGGACCGGGACCGGCAACGGGATCGCAACCCTCGGTGTTGCCCCCACACCTCGCTCAGCCAGTGAGCGGGAACCGGTCTGTATGTGGGATCCGAACCCTCGGCGGGAGCGCCACCGCGCTCCCAAGCAGCGCACTGTAGCAGTGCGCCACCGGGCCAGCCCTCTAGCTGGATAAATTTTTTAAAAAATCAAAATCTAGATACTTCATAGTGAAACTGCACAACACTAAAGACAAAGAGAAAATCTTAAAAGTGTGTGTGGTGGTTTTAAAATATGCCCACTCCTCTCTACAATAGGTAGAGACTCCTCTTGAATGTGAGGCAGACTATCTTCTAAAGAATAGAATGTGATGGAAGTAATAGTGTGTGATTTCCAAAGCTAAGTCATGAAAGACACTGCCACTTCTGCCCTGCACACTCTTTGCCTGCTTGCTCCGGAAAAAGCCAGCTGAGTAAACAGTATCAACTTGTCAGCCATGTAAGTGAGCCGTCTTGGAAGCATATCCTCTAGCCTCAGTCAAACTTTCAGTTTTCAATCAAAGCCAACATCTTTTTTAAAAAAAAAAACTTCTTTAGGGCCAGCCCCATGGTTCACTTGGGAGAGTGCGGCACTTGGGAGTGCAGTGGCACTCAGTCCAGCTCACTGGCTGAGCGCAGTGCAGGCAACACCAAGCCAAGGGTGAAAAAAAAAAAAAAGTTAGTACATGTTTATGGGTTACATTGTGTTGTTTCAATACATGCATGCATTGTAGGGGCCGGCCCGGTGGCGCACTGCTACAGTGCGCCGCTCGGGAAGCGCGGTGGCGCTCCCGCCGAGGGTTCGGATCCCACGTACAGACCGGCCGCTCAGTGGCTGAGCGAGGTGCAGGATCAACACCGAGGGTTGCGATCCCCATGCCGGTCCCGGTCCGGTGCGGGCGCGACACTGAGGGTTGCGATCCGTTGTGATCCGTTGCCAGTCACGAAAAAAAAAAAAGACAAAAAAAAAAAAAAAGGAAAAAAAAAAATACATGCATGCATTGTATAAAGATCCAATCAGGGTACCAGCCAATATTTTGACTGAAACCTCATCTTGACGGCATCTTGAGCTCAGAACCCCCTATGTAAGCGACTTCTGAATTTTTGATCCATGAAAACTTTGAGATTAAAAAATGTTTATTTTATCAAGCCATTAAGTCTTTGGGTTGTTATGCAGCAATCAATAACTAATACATGGGTGGCAGGTTAGCTCAGTTGGTTAGAGTGTTGCCTTGGAACACCAAGTTAAGGGTTCAATTTCCTGTACCAACCAGCTACAAAAAAAAAAAACCCACCAAAAACCAAAAAACTAATAAATTGGCAAAATAATTGATAACTAACACAGGTGACGTTGTGACAGCTGACATCATCAGCAATAATGGAATCCAGAAGAAAGTGGAGTGAAATCTTCAACTTGTGAGGAAATAACTGACAACCCAGAATTCAATGCACAGTTAAAAAAAAAAAATCCTTTAAGAAAACAAGTGAAATAAAGACATTTGCAAAGAAACAAACACTGAGAGAGTTTACCAGCAGCAGACTACATTAAAGAAAATTCTCAGGGTTGAACTTCAGGCAGAAAGAAAATTGATTCCAGATGAAAGGACAAAAATGCAAAAAAGAAAGAAAAACAAAGCAGAAAATATATGACTAAATCTAAATGAGCATTAATGAGGGCCAAGCCCGTGGCGCACTCGGGAGAGTGCGGTGCTGGGAGCGCAGCAGCTCTCCCGCCGCAGGTTCGGATCCTATATAAGGTTCGCTCACAGCACTCACTGGCTGAGCGCGGTGTGGCCGGTCTCAAAAAGGACAAAAAATAAATAAATAAATAATAAATAAATGAGCATTAATGATATAGATAAAATCTTAATAATTTGTGAGGTTTAAGAAATAGAATTAAAATACCCAAGAATAATAGTATATACATCAGGAAGGGAGTGAATGGAGATAAAGTGTTCTAAGGGCTATTTTGGAGGAGGGTAGAGGTATTCGTTAACATTAAATTTTTGTATGTAAAATATGTGTGT